GCGCGGCTGTGAAATATCTTCATGAAAATGTAAGAAAATGATGTGGCGCGGCGGCCACGCTATAGGAGAGACAACCAGGTTAGAAACAGAAAACCACATACCTTTTGTAGGTCAACGTCTTAGAAATAAATTCAAATGACGACGAACGGACGGGCGCCGGAGGGAGCGACAGGGATAGACCAGCACCGCAGATAAGACTCCCAGGACAAAGCTCCCAGGGGTTTTATGTGCCTGGCAGCCTGGTTCTATGCCTACTACACAAATCTATTTACAGATGGCCACTATCGATCGGACGACACATAAAAGTCTAAATAGTTATGGCAGAGAAGCCATGTTGGAAAAGAGACTTGGAAAGAAAGTTGGGCATGGAGGGCCGGCAAAAACACCTGAACTAGACCTGAACTAGACCCTCTAGAAGTCACAGTAAACTCAGGACTTGTGGCAAAATGACCACAACAAGACCCCCTTAATGAATAAACTGGCGGGAGAGGGGCCGGGAGGATGACAAGAACCCACAATAAAGTAAAAATAAACTGACTTACAGTTCGGTAGATCTACCTGAAAAAAGATAAATAAATCCAATTAGATTGAGCCAAATGATTCCAACTCTACAGGCCACATGTCATAGAGCAGGACTCATTGTAACAGACAGAAATACACTTCCTCCTTCGGTGTTAAAACTGTTTTTCTTAAAGAAACTTTCTTACCGAACACTTAAAGCTCTGTTTTCCCACGTACTTCACTGATGTGTTTGCCAGCGTCCTGGCGCCAAACAAACTTATTCAAATCAACACCGACTATAGCGACTGACGCAGCGAACGCCATTTTCCCGCGGACTCAACAAACTAACTGAACAGCTGCACTCAAAATTTAAAACACTTGTAGCCCCGCCCACTGCGCACGGCCCTTGTTTACGATTGGTCTGCGGGAACCGCCTCGACGAACTTCCTTTCCCGTGACCGATAATCATTTTAACCGTGCATGTGTGCGGTTTGTTACATCACGCCAAGGGGCGGGGAACCCCGTTTATTGAAGGTTCACGCTGCAGGTGAGGGCGGTGACGTGACGCTGATCTCCATCAGCTGATCATAGTGTTTCCAGAAAACAGGCGATTCTTCAACATTTAGCGACAGGATGTCTCTGCTTTGGAACACAGAGTGAACAGCCTGTACCACTGAGTGAACACGGCCCCAAAGAGCCCAGACACCGAGACACAACCTTAATATCACGTGTGATTTTAATGGGTTTTATCTAATCCAGTCATTTCTTTAGTTTGTACTGGTGTAGTGAGAGAGAAAAAAGGCTTTGTCTGATAGGCCTGTTTGGTTGCTAAACTTATATACTACTACTTTACTATATGTAAATGACTATTCACACTTTTATATTTGGTCTGACCACTGCCATTTCTCTGTCAGATCTCATTGGATTGTTTACAAGTGGCCTAGTATTCTGTTCTGAAAGGTCTCATCTGGGCCTGTCAGTTGTTTCTTGCTCCAAGCTTAGAGCTAATGGAGATTTGGCTTTTGAAGTTAATTTTTATCTTTAAAAATACTTTTACACTGTTTTCTAAACTGTATTCTATGTCACTCCAGAGCACTTTGTGTTGTCTCATGAATGATTCCATATACATAAACTTCATTTACCTACTATTTGCTCATGGTGCCATGCTGCTTGTTCAGAAGTTACTGTATTACAGTAATAACTGACCAAGCATCATTTAAAACAGCAGTTGTCTTTCACACCTTCTGCACAAAGGGGCCTAGTAGAATGAAAGCATCTCAATCTTGCAATCAAGGCTTGGAAAGGTTATTTTTTAAAATATTCATAAGTGGCAGTCTGCTCACTTTTACTGTTCCTGTTTTATGTAGACAAAAAGCAGAAACATATTTTTGGAAACAGAAATGAAAGCTCTGCCTCTGGTCAATTAGTAGAGACACCGCCAATGGGAAAAGACATTATGAACCTGTAAAGGAGATACATCATATACTGTACATAATTGGATTTTTTCCCCCCCAAGAGCTGATTAAATAATAGTATGCTGAGGTTTTGCTGAATTAAAAGCCTGCAGCTTGTTTTGCCCTGACACCGACAGACGGGGTGATTTTCCCCCACTGGATTTAGCCGAACCTAAACTCCAGATTCTGTCCATGAGATATTTTGGACAAGGTTGAGAGGAAAGGAGGAGGAATAATTCTCTCATGTTCATTCCAGGAGATGACTAACAGAAAAGGAAGTACAAAAATGATCTTAACTTTGAAGAATCTTTCTGCTTTCTGGTGGTGTGGATGTCCTCCTATGTAATTTACGATTTAAATAAAAACATACGGGAGAGAATATTGACTTATTCTACATTTACTGTATGCACATAAGGATCAGCCATACAAAGCTAAATGCACAGACATTTTAACATGTTTAAAATTTTATGAGAAAAAAAGCTGTGCAAACAGATTTACACAAAAGACAATAGAGAGAAGGCAACCTTCTGGGAAATTAATACAAGCTCATTCAATTCATTATAAACAGATTTCATTCACCTTTTAACAGACTGTCAAACTTACAGAGCAAGTTTCCTTAAATATCCTTAAAAACTATCATTTTTCTACAAAATCTTCTCCACCGTTTTTGATAATAACATGTACGTTAACAATTGCTCATTTACATCTGGAATTTCACAATTAGTATTCTGGTTTTTATGTTAGTAGTGTAGGTCTGGTTTGATCCATCTTGAAGCCTTTTTTTAACTCATACAGCTAAAAATGAACCAATCATCTGCCAGCAGTCAATGTAAACACAGGACGACAACGTTAACAGTTTGCACAGACCAGACTTTGCACTGCCAAACTCATCTATACTGTCAATGCATCAATGGAAGCAGAATTATGATACAAATAAATGAAGTGTAGTGTAAACGTAAGAATGCTGGGTTGCACATTTTGCCTTCCACTCTGGCTGATGAAAGGCTTAAAATTAAAGTTCACAGAAAACACATATTGTAAGGGAGCAATCCAAGGAGCTTTAGCTGGACAATGGTCCTCTGCCTCTGAACAGGATAACTGCTACAGGGCATGTGTTGATGGCAAACCAAAGGACATTCTCACCGTGGCTGTTAAGCTGAAACATGCTGCATGAACTAGGATCAGAAGATACTATACCCTGATGATCTTGGAAACCACAAGGCAAACATTAATGACACACTGTACATGTAGTTTCCACAAGTCAGGACAAATTAAAGCTTCTCTGAGAGGTTAAGAAGCCTTTGAATCACGGAGATGGGGGAATTACATAACTGTTGACTTCAAAACATCTGAAAAACAATATTGTCTTGTACAGAAAATAATAAGCAGTTAAGAAATTGGGTTCACAAAATGTTCTGTCCTGTGGCTTGTCTTTGAGCTCGACAGTGGATTTTGAGACTGGGCTCTCTAGAAGACGGGGAGGTGGAAGGCTTGTCAGTTTTGGTGAAGCAGGAAATTCTTGATGGGTTCCGGTAGGGGTAACGAGGTTATGTGGTGTAAACGAGTTTTGCCCATCGTTCTGCGGATCCTGATGCGACACAAGTGTGTCAGCCTACGAGGGCATCCTGAGAGGAGAGCAAACAAAGGAAGAATTTAATTAGCAGCTACAACAGAAGAACCATGTGCAGATAAATCATTATAGCAGGGAACAGACTGGTTCATTACCTCTGCCAAGGGTGGGGGTTATGTTTGTACCGTGTGTTTGTTTGTTAAAAGCATAACTCCGAAGGTAATGAATGGATTTCGATGAAATGTCTTGGAAAGGTAGGGTATGGCACCCAATTGATTTGAGTGCTGATCCTTATCATAATTTGGATACAGGAATATTTTTAGAGATTATTAATCATTGTGAGCCTACTTACTGAAGTCCGTTTTACCCCGAAACCAATGAGTGAGTGCTTTGTACAGAGCCGAGTGAGACACTGATCTCTGGTCAAGAAAAAGAAGTATGCTACTGGCAGGGACCAACCTGCTGCATGGGACAACAAGGCAACTGCAACTGGACCATGCACAAAACATTCATTTTTTTATTTTAAAAAGTGTAAATTAATTAGAGTGCTATACTACATTGTGGTATCTTTTTTTGTAGCAGAACAAAAATTCCTGAGTGTTAAGGGGCAACTGTGGCTCAGGAGGTAGAGGAGTCATCTCCTAACTGGAAGATTTGTGGTTTGATTCCCGGCTTGTCCAGTCCACATGTTGAAGTGTCCTTGAGCAAGACACTGAATCCCCAGTTGCTCCTGGTGATGTCACCAGTGCGTGAGTGCAAATGGGTGAAAGACCAAATTGTGTGAAAGCGCTTTGAGTGTGCTGTAATGCATAGAAAAGCCCTGTATAAGACACAACCGAACAACAAAACTCTACCAACTAAAAACATTTTAGCTTCTTAAAAATAATTTCAACTTGTGAACAAAATGAGTGCAGAACCGTGTCCGTTTTCTTAAAC